CCCCCCCCCACCCCTCTCGTTTGTAACGTGTATTTTCTTACATGTTGCGTAGCCCACAAGAACTATCGCAATCGAGGAATTGAAAGTAAGAAATGCATTCTGACGGCATGACCACGTTCCACCTCCACTTTAATCACTGCTAGTCTATAATTCCATGGACCTGTTTTGGGGTGTGGGATAGACTTACCACCACGTGGTGCACCCTGGGTAACGTATACTCATACGGCAAAGAAGTCTATCACGTGGTGCACCCTGGGTAACGTATACTCATACGGCAAAGAAGTCTATAAACCGGCAGTTAACTTCTCACTTCGAACTACCATGATCTGAATCTATGTCGTATTCGACCATTTTCACAGCACTCACCTTACCTTTTCTCTACCTTTAAGTCTATCTCCTTTACGTCTATGAAGCATGCTTCTGTTCCCCCTCTCCACTTTTTGTGACTTTGATGACTTCGGTCTTCACAGAAGGGAAGAACAACTAAAGGGCTAAAGACTTCCATTGGGCATACATAAATATTACCTTTTCTATAAAGAGGTTTTTGAAAAATGCGTATTTAGTCCATGCCACTCAGAGTTGAATTAAATTGCTCGATTGCTTAAAAGTTTCTCCACTGCTGTCTTAGTGATATTCCAAAGTGAGAGAACTTACTCCACTATAAATAGCATTCTGTAGTTTCGCCACAACAGTAACACGACCCTCCCTATCCAGATGTCTTTTCCAGACCTCCATTGTGACCGCGTGCTTGCGTTGGACAGGTTTCAGATCCGGTATGGTGATTTTGGGAGGAGCACGAGATATAATTTGATATTCCCCGTCATCTCCTGGTGCTGAGGAAGTTGTAAAAGCCTCTCCAGAGGTAGGCAAATGGTTGGGCGCAATTCTCTCACCCATGAGAGGCATGTTGGCGGGTGACACCAGATCAGGGTCAATAAAAGCGAAGGTGCCTGGCGAGGTACGATCGGGGTAGAAATTGTTGCCTACTACGCCGTTCATAAATGCATCTCCACTCACTCGAAGACCCTCAAAAGCATTCATAACACGGGTTCCCACACCCTGAAGTAAGGACATTGGTGTTGCAGAATATCTGAAAGAAATCAGCATTAGAACAAATGAGAAATGTCTAATGATGGAGACAGATCCTTTAAATATAATGGTGATAGCCAAAAAGATTCCTTTGCCAATTACAATTGTGAAAACTGAGGAAAGGTGTCAGACCATATTAAAACCTGAGAACCAGAAGAAGGAAGAGCAAATCTGAAAGAGCTCTGGAGTTCAAATGAAATCGGGTCCCTCTGTTTCCCAAATATAAATTTCCGCCTCTTAAAAGCTGACCCACTTCTTAGTAGCGAAATTCTCCTTCTTATACTTACATGTTTCTCTATGAAATAAAATAAAAGCAGATAAATTCATACTGAGATGTGACTTAGTTGTAGCTGCAGAATGTGAATGGAAATAATAAACAAATACCCTAATTTCTCCAATGAAGGGTGAACTTCTTGAATGGTGTTAAAAGACACTCGTTTTAAGCAATCAAAACAAAGGAGAAAAGAACAGATATGATAAAATAAACAGATTCTCATGGAAAATTTACCTACATAAACAAAGGAAAATATAAACAGACAAATACTCTCTAACTGACCCAATTAACAACATATCAGATATCAGCCAAAATAATAAATTAATAAGTCACTTATTAATTCTATCTGAAAGGTCTGTTTTGAAGGAAAGACAGTTTCGCCAACTCATCTCAAATAAATAAGATAGGCGAAGTCAGTTTCACAAAGATAGGTTTCAACGACAATTTAGATAAGAAATATTTTAACCACAATGGAGTTACAATGGTAATTAAAATGAAATTTTCAGAAAGGCAACTTACTTGGATGTCGGTAACTGATAGGTAGTAGTCTTTCTTGTAACCTTATAAATTTCTGCATCACCTGACAGCCTAAAATAATGGGAAATAAATCGATAAAAAACTTGATTCAATAGAAATAGTGTGTTAAATTCCCATGTCCAGATATAATTTTAGGTAAAAATTAGTTATCTTCAATAATCAATTATTTTTCATCAATCATTAGCGAAAATGACCTAAACAAATGGTAATTAAGGTAGCTTAATACTGAAGGCTTACAAAAACTGTCAATATGCTTAGAGATAATTGTAAATGTGCTTATAAAATTACAATGTGGAATAAAACACTGAAATTTTATTACCGTTGAAGATCAACAAATGAACGGAGTTTACTGATAAATTCTCCAGAACCACCTTTGATGAATTCAAAAGGACCGTATACGATGCTCGGATTGATCCGAAGGATGATACCCATATAACTACGATTGAAACCTACTCGACGACGTTCAACTTGTGTGATGTTGTAAAGAGGAATTTTAGGGGGAATATGATCATCTGAAATGTTGCCACTAACTGGGATCCATTGTATCGCAGTGTCTTCAGAATTCTAAACATTGATGAGATAGAAGTTAAAGATAATTCATGGCTTACAGGAGAGAGAAGAAATAAGGTCCCGTTAATGCATTCACTGTCGGGTGTAAAAGAGACATCTTTCCACTTTTCACATGTTCCTTCTGAAAAACTCTAAAATTTAATGAATATTACAAATGATGATGACGATTCTGAACAAAATGGAAAATAATATTTGACACAACTTCAGATTAAAAGCAGTGCAAAATCGAGAACACTGTGAAGATACCCCAATAAGATTAAAAAATTTGCAAGATCAGGTTAAGCTAAAATGCAAACCAACCATTGCGATATAATTCCGAATAATCTAAAAGGCAGCAAGAAGAAATGTCGATCCCAAAACCTAAAAAGCTCGTATTGAGCGCTTAATAGATTTAGAAGTGCATGGCCTTCAAAGAAATGGCAGGTTGTTATACCAAAAGTAAATGCAGAAAATATTTGTCATAAAATCTGAATTTATATCTGATTTATTTTCTGCTACTTCGTGTTACCAAAAGCTGAGGTTAAGTCAAGCAAATGCAAATGTTGATGATGAATAAATTAAATTTTTGAAAGTACATTTTATCAATTAATATTCAAAGCAAAGAAATAAATGGCGAAATTTTATGGATCCAGTGTGTGGCTATTAATCTTGTGGAAGAAAATTAATTGCTTGGTACCCCCAAATGTGTTAAAATTTTGCAAAGAATATCACTATGCATTTGCATCCACTTCCACAATAGGAGAAGGGACTAACAATAAAATACAACAAAGACGTTTACTTTGTAATTATAACCATTTCATCTTATAATTAAGAAGCATTAAACAGTAAATAAAATTTTATCATCTTAGTGTTGAAATGAGCTTCGCTAAAAAGAATTTCACAATTAATGAAAGGAATTTTTCAATTTCATTCATATGTAATTAGATTTATCATAATGAATTTTGGAGAGGGGGGATTATTGATCCTAATTTTCATCTTGCAACAATAATTGCGATAAAAATTTTTAAGCCTATGCTTTTTACTACTAATAATAAAGAGCGCGGAGTGTGCGAAAGACTTACCTCCACGTGGTGCACCATGGGCAACGTATTCTCATACGGCAAAAAAGTCCATAAACCGGCAGTTGACGTCTCACTTCAAACTACCAAGACCCCATCGCATTTCATATTCGGCTAATTCCACAGTGCTCACCTTTTTTCTACCTTTGTGTCTATCTGTCTC